GTACAGCAAATCTTTCCTTGATTTTAATTTTGGAAAATGTACGGCTATAAAGGAAGAAGCTGTAGTTGGAATCCATTTCCTAGTGTTTTAAAAACAGATGTGAATATGTGTTCATTAGCATTTTCTCTTATGGTCATTGGGTGCATTGACACTGTGTTCCTTGAGTGTGTTATTAATTTAAAGGGATAGTTCATCCAAAAATTGTAATTCTGTCATATTTATTCAAGCTTATGATGTCCCACATCTTTCTGAAGTGGAACAAGAAAAGAGTTATTTTGAAGAATGTCCAAGCTGCTCTTTTCCATAAAACAAACGTGAAGGTGATTTTTAAAACGTTTTTTAAAGAAGTCTCTTATGCTTTTATTTGGTCCAAATTACAATAACACAGTATTATTGTGAAATATTTTAAAATAATATTTTTTTCTGTGATGGCAAAGCTGAAATTTTAGCATCATTACTCCAGTCTTCAGTGTCACATGATCTTTCAGAAATCATTCTAATATACTGATTTAGTGTGCAATAAACATTTCTATTGAAAACAGCTGTGCTACTTTACATTTTTGTGGAAACAATAATACATTTTTTTCAGGATTTTTTTTCATGAATAGAAAGTTCAAAAGAACAACATTTATTTGAAATAGAATATTTTTTAACATTATGAATGTCTTTACTCTCAACGTTTGATAAATTTAATGCATCCCTGTTGAATAAAAGAAGAAAAAAATCTTACAGACACCAAGCTTTTAAAATACTGCGTGTCAAAAAGTTAATGATTACTGGTGACAAGAGACTCAATAACCATTGACTATTGAATATCGATACTGTTCCTTACACAAAATTATCATATGACTTCAGAGGACTGGAATGTAGCACACGAGTCATATGGACAACTTTTATTATTCTTTTATGGTGCTTTTTTGTCAATTATGGAGTTTAACAGTCCCATTCTCGATTTACTTTCATTGTAAGACATAGAGCAGCATGAACATTCTGTTAAACTTCTCCTTTCATCTTTTTACTGGTTTTGTAACAACATGAGGGTGAGAAATGATGGCAGTTTTTATTTTGGGTGATCTGAATGGCTGCTAATTCTTTGTGTGTGTGCTTTTGTTTGCATATGTGCATTTTTAGGTTAAATCTTGACCCCGAGTGCACTTGCACTGATGACAGGCTTTGGGAAGCGCTTGAAATTGCCCAGTTAAAGAATGTGGTGAAAGCACTCCCAGGGGGATTGGGTAAGAATGATACTCTCCGACTGTTCAACCCTTATCAGGATCAGTTGGACACCATAATGTCAGTTACCTCATGATTTTGACACCAAGTGGAAATTCTCTATTGCAATGAAATGCTGGAGTTTACTGACCTTTTAACGATGACCCGAAGCATTCGGTTTTATTTAAAAGTGATATTTTGTAAATCTGAACAGCTGTAAAGCATCATGCTGTACGTATGTCTTTCCCCAGACGCTGTGGTGACAGAAGGAGGGGAGAACTTCAGCGTGGGACAAAGACAGCTCTTCTGTCTTGCCCGGGCCTTTGTCCGCAAAAGCAGCATCCTAATTATGGATGAGGCGACAGCTTCTATAGACATGGCCACGGTACAACCACATCTACATCTATGGAAGACCATTTCCATTCCATAAGAAAAAAATCATGATTTGGTAGATCATAACTATGACATAAAAAGACATATTTATGAGATAAGTCAAAATTGAGATAAAAAGTCAGATTTACAAAAATGTTGAAATTATGAGAAAAAAGCCATAATTATGACAAAGCATTTGGACTTCTGATATAATTATGACATTTCATCTCAAAGTTTTTTGTCATAATTTTGACATTAATTTCATAATTATAAGTGAAGTGACATGTGGCCAAGTATGGTTACCCATACTCGGAATTAGTGCTCTGCATTTAACCCATCCTAAGTGCACACACACACACCGTGAACACACACCCGGAGCAGTGGGCAGCCATTTATGCTGCGGCACCCGGGGAGCAGGTGGGGGTTCGGTGCCTTGCTCAAGGGCACCTCAGTCATGGTATTGAAGGTGGAAGAGAGCGCTGTACATTCACTCCCCCCACCTACAATCCCTGCCGGTACGAGACTCGAACCCACAACCTTTGGGTTACGAGTCCAACTCTCTAACCATTAGGCCACGACTTCCCCTATGAGATATTATGACTTAATACTCATAGTTTTTACTTTTTACCTCATGATTGTGACTTACTATATAATAATTTCAACATTTTATCTCCTAATTAGGACTTATCTCATAATTCTGAATTTACCAAAGATTTTTTTTCTTAGGCATTTGGAATAGACTTAAATTTACATCCATTACATTTTATATAATTTGCTAAACATTTATAAGAAATATTCTCAACACATTTTACTTACATAATGTGGTGTATTATAGATTGAAACAGGACATTTTTTTAGTATTAAAATGTCTTTTGTGGTAAATTCAACAGGAAAATATTCTTCAGAAAGTGGTGATGACTGCATTTGCTGATCGGACAGTTGTCACTATAGCGGTAAGTTACCATATATCAACTTTTTGCTGGTCTATATAACAATACCGGCACAGAAATACTCAAAACAATAGAGAAATACATCTTCAAAGGGATAAAAGGACTTTTAACACTTACCAGGCTTTGACATCTTCACTCCTTTCTCTGTTCTCATCTTTCTCCACCAATTCTGACAGCTGACAATCAGTCACAATCTCTTGGCATTAACACATTGGCTCTTAAGAATATTATAAGCTTGCTGCCACGTTTGTACTGTAAACTGTCATTCAGAGCCACAGATACGCAAAAATGGCCTTTCTGCCTCTGTTTGTGCCACATAAAACGCATTCAGTAAAGTGTTTTTAAAGTGCCACAGAACACAATTGAGCTCTGAATAAATGCATGATCTCTGCTGCTCAGTTTGCTGCACTTTTTCACCCATTTTTTCTCTCCTCGCCCTCATCGCCTTTTTCCCTCTCTTCTTTCTCCTTCTTTGTCCACCCGTCTCTCTTCCTCTGACACAGCACCTGGTTTCCTCCATCTTGGAGGCGGAGCAGGTGCTGGTGTTTGCTTCTGGAACTCTGGTAGAAAGCGACAGCGCTCCTAACCTCTTGGCACAGGAGGACAGCCTCTTCAGCATCTTAGTCCGGACGCACAAGTAACTGTGCTTTGCCTCCACCCCTAGGTACCTATGCCCTGGCACATTGGTTGGTAACCAAGAGCTTGCATAGGTTGTGTGCAACCTGTTAGAACACTTCAGCTCACAGTCACTAACCCCATTCTAAAGCCAGCTGACTATGATTTGACTTGTGATTTTTAGTTTTCAACATTAAGATTTTAGGTTTTATCTGGTCACCATTTATCTTTCACATTTTTTAATAACCTTTTTTTTCTGTTCACTTGCATAGTCCTGTGGTTTGACAAATTAATACATTTTTTTAACATACAAATAGCCACAGTAAAGGTGTTATGTTGTTTTTTGGAATATGACATAAAATGCCCCCTGACCTGGTGTCCTAAGAAAACAGACTCTGTCCTTGTCACAGCACTATAGGGCATGTAAAAAAAAAAACAATAAATAAAATAAAATAAAATAAATTAGCAGTTGTTGCTTTTTTAGCTAGAATATGAGAATACAAAAAATACTTTTTTTTAATTTTTTAAATAGAAAATAAAGAAATGTTTAGTTGTCTCTTGTCTCAACTAGAACTATTAAAAACATTTTTAATTAAATAAATTTAAATAAAATATAAATATTAGATGAAATACTACACTAAAATTAGAACTATTGAAGGTAGAGAACTAAAATTACTAAACTGAAATACAAATAAAATGAAAACTACATAGAAATATTTCAAAAGACTAATAAAAATGACAAAAAACATTTAAAAAATGTTAAATAACAAAAAAATTTAAATATGAATAAAAACTATAATAGCATGTAAATAATACTAAAAATAATGCTAGTCTTTCTTTAAGTCCAGGAATGTAGCCAGTGGTATTTATGATTAGCCAATTATTTCAGGGTCCTTTGTGAATTAAAGGCCTGCACCTGCTACTGTTTTGTGCACTGGAAATGGGTAAGATGATTGTAACATTCCCTCAAGCTGGTTTTTGATCCTGTAAACAGCAGCTCGATGTTTTACTCTGATTACAGAGCTACAGAATTACAGCATCTGATTCTGCAGTGATTTAAACAACAAAAGATGACAGTTAAACAATCTCGACAGCTAAGGTGATGCTTTAATAGAAATAGGTTTGCGTACAACTGCTTGATTGTGCCTGTTTTCCACAGCATCGTGTCCACACTATCCTGACGGCTGATCTAGTCATTGTGATGAAGATTATAATTGGGCTGGCAGTAAAATAAAACATTCACAACTAATCTCATCATGTTTCATAATTAAAGTCTTCAGAAAGCAGAAAACAAAAATATGATATGTATTCCATAAATATGTGGAATATTTAACCTCAACATAAAAGTATATAAAGTTACCCGTTACATAAAATATAGCCTATGTTTTACAATTAAAAACTAAACTAAACTAAAATCCATTTTGTAGTCTTAGCGTCCTCTTGTGGCCCTCGGGTGTCTCCGGACCCCAGTTTGAAAACCCTTGCACTATTACAATAACTCATTACATTGCACTGACACAGATACACACATTGTTTTTTTCTCCACTTGAAATGTTCAAACTTGTCCTGACCTGCAATTATTTTGCGACTGGCAGCTTATCTGTTCCTATTATATGGTTTATTTTATATAGGTTATAGAGACTATGACTAACTCTATTTTACTTCAGTTTATAAGATATCGTATTTTCACAATTTTTAAGCCGTAAAATAAGGGCAGATTTAGTTAATGTAATATTTTGAAGTAGTTTTAGACTCTTCTCTCCAGGGTGAATGTTTCTCGGAGGCAGCAGGACAGCGATGTACCGCCCATGTGTGTAAAGTCCTGTAAGAGCGCAGCACAATCATCATAAAGATACTTTTTGAAGCCTTTACGCGGTGAGTGTGTTCTGTATAAACTGACACAAGAACCCGGATTAAGGTCTGATAGATGGAAACTAATTTTCTTAACTTTGGTTTATGCTAGCTGAACAGTGTTAGAGGGCAGATGTAGGATGGTTATTGAACTGGAGCCGCGCTTTTGACAGTAGTTGAATGGAGAGCCTTTTTTTTCCCTGACCGTTCGCAGTAGACGTGCTCAAATAATGCTGCCGCGTAAAAGCATCATTCCCGAAGAGTTCGCGTTCTCCCCGGCGCTCGTGTCGCCGATTCCCCGCAAGCCCGTGTTCAGGGACCGCGTGAACAAAGCGCGCTTCATCGCCAAGAGCGGCGCATGCAACTTGTCGCACAAGAACATCCGCGAGCAGGGCAGATTCCTGCAGGACGTGGTCACTACTTTGGTGGATCTCAAATGGCGTTTCACCCTGGTCATTTTCTCCATGACGTTCCTGTGCAGCTGGCTGCTGTTCGCTATGTTCTGGTGGCTAGTGGCCTTTGCGCACGGGGATCTGGACCCTAACCGTAAACCTGGCGTAGAGCAGTGTGTCACTAATGTCAAGTAAGTGCGCATAAGTCATTTTAGTTATTGTAAAAATGTTAAGTACTAGACATGAGTACAATCTGCCTTGAATGCATTATGTTTGTGCAGATGGAGACTAATAATGTTCAAACTAAAGTTGCTAAATTCATATTTTAATAAACGAATTCATGTCCAAATATATATACCCTGTATCAAAACAATTAAAGATTTATAATGGCAAACTAATATCTGAAATAATATATATTTTAATTTAATCCAGTAAATCTAGTCAGTTAAAAAAAACAAGTCGTCAGATCAGCTCCATAATACAGCATAAAGCAGAACTTGTTGAAAAGGAAATATATATTTCTATAAAGAATGAAGTACTATATAACACATCATTCTTCTTCATTCTTACACTTCACTTGTGCAGATGTTACTACTTTTCTATATTTTAAAAACAAGAATTATAAAAAAGATATTAATATATATATATATATATATAAGTAATATATAAAATGAAAATCTGTTGCCTAGAACCTGCAATACTAGTAAAACGTTTAGACATACCTACTCATTCTTTATCTGTATTTTCTTTTAATTTAATAGTAAAAATCACAAAAACTTTGACATTTAATTTTTTTGAATTATGGAAAATATGTAGTGATCAGAAAATTTTAAATCGACAAAAATAGAAGAATCATTTCAAAATCATAATAGACAATTCAATATGCGTTTATTATTATTTTTAATGCGGATAATATTTTTACTAGAGAGAAATTACTAGGTTGTTTTATTCCCCTTAGTTCTAGAAGCCTAAAGCGGTTTGGTCTTTTCTCTTTATCTTTTCCAGCTCTTTCACCTCTGCCTTCCTCTTCTCCATCGAGGTGCAGGTGACAATAGGATTTGGCGGGCGTATGATAACAGAGCAGTGTCCCACAGCCATCACGGTGCTCATATTACAGAACATCATCGGCCTAATAATCAACGCTGTCATGCTGGGCTGCATCTTCATGAAAACTGCCCAGTCCCACCGGCGCGCCGAGACCCTCATCTTCAGCCGCCAAGCCGTCATCGCCGTGCGTAACAACCGCCTGTGCTTCATGATCCGGGTGGGTGATCTGCGTAAAAGCATGATCATCAACGCGGTTGTGTGCCTCCAAGTGGTCCGGAAGACCACTACGCCAGAGGGCGAAGTCATACCCATCCACCAGATCGACGTCCAGACAGAAAGTGCAGTTGCCGGCAACAGCATCTTCCTGTTGGCGCCCCTGATCATATGTCATGTCATCGATAAGGACAGTCCACTGTATGATCTCTCGGAGATGGAGCTGCAGTGTAGCGATCTGGAGGTCATTGTGATCCTGGAAGGTGTGGTGGAGACCACAGGCATCTCCACTCAGGCTCGCACCTCGTACGTGACTGAGGAGATCCAGTGGGGCCACCGATTCGTGCCTATAGTGACCGAGGAAGAGGGGGTATACTCGGTGGACTACTCAAAGTTCGGGAACACGGTCAAAGTGGCCACCCCACACTGCAGCGCCCGCGAGCTGGACGAGAAGCCCTCCATCCTGATCCAGACACTCCAGAAGAGCGAGCTGTCGCACCAGAACTCTTTGCGCAAGAGGAACTCCATGCGCCGGAACAACTCTATGCGTAAGAGCAACTCCATGCGGCGCAACAATTCCGCCCTCGCCGTGCCCAAAGTACAGTTCCTCACCCCTGAGGGTGGACCAAATCTAGCAGTCACATGACAAAAGGCCTGGTTAGTGATTTTCACCTGTCTTTCTTTAAGTCCTTGTCTTTCTCTAGGTCCTTGTCATGCTCTTTTCTATGGTTTCCTCTGTTTTTTGATCATTCCTATCCTTGGCAACTCTGGCACACCAGATCCACTTTTCTGCAGAGTTTAGCTCCAGCCCTAATAAAACACACCAGAACAAGCTACTCGGTGGACGACTCAAAGTTTGGGAACATGGTTAAGGTGGCCACCCCTTGCTGCAGCACCCGCAAGCTGGACGAGGACCCTCCATCCTGATCCAGACGCTCAAGAAGAGTGAGTTGTTGCACCAGAACTCTTTGCGCAAGAGGAACTCCATGTGTCGGAATAACTCTATGCACCACAACAATTCTGCTCTCGCTTTGCCCAGAGTGTAGTTCCTCACCTCTGAGAGTGGACCAGATCTTGCAGTCACATGACAAAAGTCCTGGTTAGCGAATTTCACCTGTCTTTTTTAAGTCCTTGTCTTTCTCTAGGTCCTTGTCAAGCTCTTTTCCTCTGTTTTTATCATTCCCATACTAGGCAACTCTGGCCCTCGAAATCCACTTTCCTGCAGAGTTTAACTCTAACCTTAATAAAACACATCAGAACAAGCGAATCAAGGTCTTTAGGATTACTAGGCCCTGTCGCAAATGAGACCCTAAGCCCTTGTGGTCTTCTTCTAATAAGACCACTCAGCAAAAGTGTGCATCGAAAAGGCATTGTGCAGCAAAGGGGGCGCTAGCGAGCAATCGTCTGAAATTTAAAATAATGAATGGGACACCCTACAGCAGTGTTTCCCAACCCTGTTCTTGGAGGCACACCAACAGTACACATTTTGGATGTCTCCCTTATCTGCCCCATCCATTTCAGGTCTTGGAGTCTCTACTAATGAACTGGTGAGTTAATTCAGGTGTTTGATTAGGTAGAGTTCAAAAATGTATAGTGTTGGTATGTCTCCAGGGACAGGATTGGGAAACATTGTCCTACAGTCTTGTGGACTTGTGTGTGCAGAAACCATTGTAAGCTCACAAGACCACATGTTCACAAGAAGTGTGCCACTTGGGACAGGGCCCTGATTCTGATTACAGATGGTTTCCTGTATGACTGTTGATCAAGTCAAGTCACCTTTATTTCTATATTGCTTTATACAATACAGATTGTGGCAAAGCAGATTTACAGTGTTAAACAGGAAAATAGTGTGTCAACAATGCAAGAGGACAATAGTAAACAGTCACATTTTCAGTGATGTCAGTTCATCATTGATTCAAAAGTGACAGTGGCAAGGAACCCAAACTCCATCTGTGACAGAAATGGAGAAAGAGAAACCAGGTTCTGTCGCACTTTGTTCTGAGTATACTTAAAAACGGCTGCATATCCCAGCATGCACTGCGCGGGGTTAACCGGGAGTATTTCTGTTTAAAACGTACATAAAAACGCATGTTTTTTTCACGACGTACTTCTACTGCAGCATTTCGATTGCATATCCACCTTCGCAGTGATCCTATCTATAGGAGAGGGAGTAGTAAGTACGCTTACCATCGAGGAAACTGGTGTGTTGTTTGGTGACTTCCCCTCTTTGGACGGTAAGATATTAGCTTTGCGCAGTGGCAGTATCGTAGCCTATGAGGTTTATCCGAGGCGCGATTATTGCTAATTGAAAACTTTACCCAATACCCCGCCGTGACGACTTGAAATATAGTCGGCACTGGCAATTTTTGACGGTCTTTACGGAGACTGATTTTTTGGTTAAAAACAGAATTGAAGTTTATGATAGTAGAGAATTAAGTTTGGATACAAAACGAAATTAGTCAAGTCTGCTTTATTGTCAATTCTTCTAAATGTAACTAACCATGTTCCGTACACTTTTCGCTATTCGCCGCACGCCAGCGACCACTCCTCCGTTATTGAAAGACAGACAAGCATGTTTGTGTGATCATTCTCTGGGGGAATACCCATTATACAGTCCACACTTTGATTGATGTCTTTAGGACAAATAGTTTTTTAGTACAATTATTTAATTGATTCAAAGTTACACTTAAGGTGTTTGGTCACATTTGACTGCCAAGGAACATGCGACCATATTAATGCTCTCTTTATCACTCCCCAGAATAAAATGTTATTGTAAGGCGCAGTCAGCGTAATTATCAATGCACATTATGTCTTATTAATTACTAGAAATTGCTGCAAATATAGTGAAACTGCAGTCTGTCCCGATTAAACCCATTCAAACAGATTGAGTTGTTTGGAAGCACGTCAAAAGATCAAAGCGTGTCACAACTCTTGTTTCTGGTGTGAGCCAACATTTACTTTTACATTTTTGAATGAAAACTAGAAAATTTATAAACCATATAAAGTTCACGCTACTGCAATAACAAAATAAGCTCACTGCCGAATGTAATCGCTTTTATGACAATACATTTGATAGTTTTGTAGCAGGTAATTGCTTTGATTTCCTGGTTGTAAACGAAAGTACCTGGATGTTGCGCATTTTCCCAATTCATACTTTTTCCATGCAGGCATATTAATTGTTTTAATATTTTTTCGATATACATTTTTATTCAATTCAATTTAGTATAATGGCATGATTATACAATTATACAGTAAACAAGACAGTTAAAATATATTAGTGCCCGTTTTTGTCTGTAATTACGGTAAATGTTTAGTGACGACATGGTGCATTGCCAAATACCTCTCTTGCAGAATACTGTAATGCATTCAGCCACCACTAGGGGTCACTGGTGAGCTTCTTTATGGCGGATTAACACCTATGCTGCCACCACCTTTAATTCTAACCCGGTCTGGTCCGAGAGGAGCACTCAAAACACACTCAAGAGCAGGGATTACAAAAGAATACACTTTTTATTAACAATAGCAGCCATTTGGCATTGTCCTACTTAAATATCCTGATTACATACACTGGTCATGTTATTTAATTAAACCGTGAACACACACATTTACAAGAGAACCCGAGTACTCATTCCAAATTCACAGCAAACAATAAATAGTGTGAAATCTCATGCAAAACACACTTAATTAGAAACTCCAAGCATAAATCACATGCTCTATGTGTAATAACCTGCACAGGCAATCAACATACAATTCGGGAGGACAATAATCACCAATGACTGGGCACCACAACAACACACGGCGGTAAAGTTAGTTTGACGTTTGACATTTGACATTCATTAGACATTCGGGTTTTTTGCCAATTAAACTCTTTGCAGCTTTTATGTTTTGAGCCCAAACTAACTCAGATAGACATAAATATATGCCCTTTATGTTGCACAAGGCTTAATTTCTAGGAATTAAAAAAAAATATTAACCATTTAAATTAATTAAACAATTTAACTACGTGACATTATAATATAAAACCAATACTAAAATGTTCAGGAAAACATACCTGTTATCGCACAAAGCTCCGTTTTTGGAATTACAATTTTATGTTTTTTTACAACTTTTAATGTATACAATAATATAAATCCATTAAACGACAATACCATTTGATCTAAAGGTATCAAACAAACTGTAAAATATTCAGAATATTATTCCCTATAATGCACAAGTCTTGGTTTTCCAGATTATGCCTTTATTGTTTTTATATACAGTACTGAATCCATATTTGTCATGTTTTATATCAGTACTATATATAAAAACAGTAAAGGCATAATCTGAAAAAATAAGCCTTGTGCATGAAAGTGAATAATATTTAGAGATTTTTATAGTGGTTTTGATACCTTTATCTCAAACGGTGTCAGAGTTTCATTAATTTAAGTGGGTACAGTATAATAAACATATTAAAAATATGGTTTCAGTGCTATATATAAAAACAGTAAAGGCATAATCTGAAAGAACAAGCCTTGTGCATTAAATTGAATAATATTCTGAATATTGTATAGTTGGTTTGATACCTTTATCTCAAACGGTGGCAGAGTTTAATTAATTTAAGTGGGTACAGTATATAAAACATGACAAATATGGATTCAGTACTGTATATAAAAACTGTAAAGACATAATCAGAAAAAAGAAGCCTTGTGCATTATAGGGAATAATATTCTGAATATTTTACAGTTGGTTTGATACCTTTATCTCAAACTGTGTCAGAGTTTAATTAATTTAAGTGGG